AAGCTCTGAAAAATAGTATGCTAAAAATTAAAGCAAGAATTTATATGGTTTTGTAATACAGTAAATGTTTTAAAAATTGTTTGCAATACTGCAAATATTGTTTCATTGATTGTGATATAACAGTTTCCATCTTTTCAAATAAATTAACTTGCCAAGTCATTCTCTGACTCTCAAAACAACAGGCACTTGATTTACACGGCACTGGGTTACAGAATATGTATTAGCTTGGGCTTCAGCAGCTGCTAGTCATAGTTATTGTGCTCCAGCTGTTTTCAACAGACTGGGAGGCTAAGGTGCATTCCATGTTGAAGAGGAACAATTTTCCAGGGAATGAAGATGTAAACAGATCCTTTTATTTCCTTGCCTGACAGAATTTGAATATCCTGTTCTATTCCATTGTCCCCGGTCAAAGCATAGGGTGGGAGCTGTTTAAATTTTTCTGTATGTACTTTTTCTACATCGCTCTTTCATTAGTCCATATGATTATGAATCTCTTCTGAAAGACGGCATCCTCTTGAAATAGGATACAGTGAAGCATAGTACTTAGAACTTATAGTTTGCTTCTTAAGTATGGAGCTGGTCAGAATAATAGATTGTTTCAAAGGAAGAGTAAGGTGTCATTTACATATGCAGTAAATTGGCCTGTTTTATAAAAAGCTGATCTTCATCAAACACATTGAAGCTAGCTGGTTTTGCATGCAGTGATACCCTGCATTTGATGAGAGCTTTCAGACTTCATTTTGCCTTTCTTAACTACAGCATTTTAAATGTCTCTCAAAAATCTCACCCAAATGTCTCCAGAAAGTGACTTCCTTTCTGAATCCAGAGTGAAAATGTAAAAAATATGGACTCAGTGTTTCCTGTGGAGCCCCATCTGGAGCAGCACAACAGCTCTGTGTTGGCTCAGGATAATTGAGTGTTTTCCTGACTTGCCCTTGAAAAGGAATCTTTACTTGAGTAATCCCTTCATTTCTTGGGTTGCATTTAATTAGACTTTTGTTTAATTTTTGTGTTTTATTTCTTGTTTTCATACCTCCAAATTAAAAGCTACTGAGTGGCAGGAGGTTTGTGCTTCTTACTGTTATTTGAAAAAAAAAAAAAAAAAAAAAAAAAATCAAACAAACACAAAAAAACAACCACCAAGCAAGTAAAATATTTTTAGGAGACAGCAAGATTTTATACTCCTTTGCCTAAGGGGAAGCCTTCTGGTGGCCTGCAGCTCCTCATGAGGGGAGCAGAGGGGCAGTGCTGAGCTCTGCTCTCTGGTGACAGCAACTTGACCTGAGAGAACTGCATAGAACTGTAGATTGGGTGTTAGGGTAAGTTCTTCACCAGAGGGTGATGGGCATGGAGCAGACTTCCCAGGGCAGTAGTTACTGCCCCAAGCTGCTGGAGTTCAAGAAATGTCTGGACAATGCCCTTAAACATATGGTCTGATTTTTGGGTGGTCTTGTATGGAGTCAGGAATTGTACTTGATGATTCTTATGAGTTCCTCCCAACTCAGGATGTTCTATGACTCTGTGGTAAATAATTTTGTTATTCAAATTGTCACAGTATCCTTTTACCAGTGATATGTACCACAAATGAAATATCTGTGAATGTTTTAATTAGTACAAATCAAATATAGCGTTTGAGTATGTTTCACAGCCTAATGGTTAATCTGACCTTTGCTGATGTTAAGGGAAATTGGTTCTTTAGGTTGTGCCTGGGGAATCAAACTTATTTAACATTTTTATTAGTGATGAGAGCACAAGGCAGTAGTTAGGTGAAATTTTCAGATAATGTAGGATTGTGAGATAGCATCTGTACAGAGAAAGACTAATGTAGGAAGAATCGGATGACCAACATTTAATAGAGGAGGACACAGGGACACATGTACACCATCGTTGAAAATAATTTTTCAACTGGAGGAACCAAAAAGGAGAGTCCCCTGAGAGTTTTCAAGGAGAATGAGTTATTGTTGTGGTACAGTGTTGAATAAGGCCAGTGCAAGACAAGGGTTTGTGAGGGAAGGTGGTGACAGTGTCCTGGTGAACTCACACTGGGAATCGTTACATGTTCTGCTCTGCTTCAGCAGATTTGTGTATACATATCATAATACTGAGGGGGAAACTGGTTTTCTCTGTAAATGTTGGGTTTCTGAAGTATTGGAAGTTATGTGTACCAATGGCAACAAAGAAAATACCCAGTGGGTTTTGAAAGTCACACACTTGGACAATTTGAAATTTTACAGGTAACTTTATTCTTGAATAAATACTGTAAGGGACATGAGTAGTGGATGAAGCAACAGCAGGTCTTATTTGACAGCTCCACTTGTGAGGGAGAGGAGGCATTTTGTGTACGTTGTGATGGAAAAAAAACTACCCACAGCAGCAACAGAGGGGACTGTAATGTGCCAGAGAGTCTGGCTGTTCTCTGTTTTACCAGTATCTATAGTTGATGCACAAAAGGGAAGGATGCTGAAGTGTAATGGGTGCTGAAAGCTGATGATGTATCTTGTGCTAGCTCCAGGGCAGGTCTGCTTCACAACTTCTCTCCCTGTCTGTGGGTTGCAATTATGGCAGGTAACCCTCTTGGTCTATTGCAAACACTCCTGTCCTGGTTGTGTTTTATAATTTAAACTTGGCAGTCTTAAAAGACTACTCTACTGTTCATGGGTCACTGATAACCCTCATGTGAAAGTACCCAATTGCACACCTGTGTGTATTTCTGCACTTCCCAAAGAGTGACTCAGGTTGCCCTTTCGAACAGTACAATAATTGTTTCTTTCAGGATGTAAGTTTCCTTTAGTACTTATGTAGTAATTCCAGACTTCTGCTTCTTCGAATTGCGCTCATGAATAAAAATTAAAAAAATGTATTGACACAGTTCTGTGCAGGAAGGAAAATCATGAAACTTAGGAGGGATTCTTTAATGTATCAACCATGAGCTGGCAAATATGTTAGTTGTGAACTGGCTGCTGTTCATGGCTGTGTATGTTACAGTTTCGGACAAATTCAAGCTAGTAATACTACCAGTGACTGATTTGTTCTGCAATGAACTGAATTTGGGGCCAGCATTCTGATCATGATGGGAGTGTTGGAAATTCCCGTGATATATGTAGGTAGCTCTGAAAGTAATGGCTTCTATTTATTTTCATGGAAACAGCAAGAAATACAAGGAGCACAACAGCACTATTTGATAAAGCAAATTCTCAGCTACACAACCCTGTTTTCCAACATACCACCATTAGCTGATGTAAGTGGATGAGCTGATTGAGATTTCGTGGTGCTGTTGCCTTTGCTGAAATGCACTATCCCCTGCCTCACTGTACTCACATCCACTGTTTGGTTTTCATGAGTATTCAGCTAGGGTCAATGAAATTCAATGGGTAAAAATGTTTCTACATGGAGGAATTCAATTCCATACCTTTGCTGTACCTATGCGCTTCCATGTCATACACTGTTTTGTCAGAGTACCCCTTTCCTACCATCTGTCACATGGCAACAGTATGTAATGGAATATTGTTGGAAAGGTTCACCCTCTACTGCCATACCACCCACATCTGCCTCTGACATCATGAGCCAACATAATAAAATAGAAAGCATTTCTTCCAGAGCAGTCCTTGCGTATGTGTGTGCATATTTTTATTCCTTTTTTTTCCTATATATTTTTTCAGCTCCTATTTCTGTTTCCTTGAGCAAAACAAGTGCGTGCAAGTGATGCAGCCAGCAGGCATGGTTGTCACTCTCCTCACTGTTCAAGGCACTGGTACCTCAAATAATGCCCCATTTATAATCTGCTTTAGCACTTAGCTGAGAGAACAGCTATTGGATGAAAGGGAGATTGCTGCCTACTTTCTGTCTTTCTCTTCCTTGTGCTGTGAGTTTTGGCTGGATTCTTTGGTATGGAGGGAAAGAGAAGAGGAAGTAATGGAGACAAAGCTACAGCAGCATGTGATGATGCAAGGTGATGCTTGAGAAGCATAACTCAGAGATGGGCAAAATGTATTTTTGGTGGTTATTTAGTTCTATCTGTATGTATGCCTGTGTTGCTTCTGTAGAACATGCATATCCTACCAGTGATTAAATCCATGTCTCTTGACAAGCAGTGTGCCTCTTTGCAAAACATATTCATGTATTATATCTAGAAAGTGTAGGGCTGATGGTTCAAAAGTCTGTTTTTCAGGTACATTTCCAGAAGGAGATGGTATTATGGTTATTCTTACATGCAGAGAAGAACTCTCAGAAATCAGTAAAACATTAAACCCTGCTGGATTTGCCATCTCTAAATTCTTATCTGTCCTTCAGTTTCTTACACAGCCTAAGTACTACTTGACTTAAGTGTATTGTTCACAATGTCATCCAGACTTGCCTGAAGACAGAAATTTCACCACTTTTCTTAGTTAATAACTGGAAGGGTGTAGTAGATGGAAAACTGGTATATTCACTGGTTCATTTGCAGCTTGATAATTTATTGCCTGTGGTTAATGTGAAAATGCATTGGCTTTATTTCTGAATGAACAGGAAAAGGGGAAACTTGGTTTGGTAAATAATGTCATTTTCTCTGCTCTGGAAGATGTCTAGAGTTCCTAATGTATAGTAGTTACATTTCTAGAGAAGAAAATGCAAAAACCATATTGGCTGGTAGGTCAGTTCTAGACTATTTTTATATCATCAAAGAAATATGCAAACGAAGAATATTTTCTTTGAGGGTGAACCTGGAAAAAACCCTAGCCAAGAATGTTTAGCTTCATGGTACTAAGTTTACATAGGGATATCATTGAGTGTGAAGTGTCAGGTATGTTTACCTGTGTTACAGTGACAGGTAAAAGGAATTCCTGTTTATAACTTTATATGCTATTAAATCTGTTCCCATGAACATGTGATATTTTTATTCTTCAAGATCAAGCTACTATTGATATTTGTATTTTTCTTTTAATATTTGATTATAAAGTTTCCATTGCTTCTGTTCATGTGTTTATTCTAAGAATGACTAGTATTTTTTTGTAACTTTGCAGAGTACAGACGCCAATTCAAATGTGAGGAAAAGAACGAATGCCACAGTACAGTCAGAAGCTGATGGTGGGAGTCGAATTGACACAAGGCACAGTTCCATCCAGCCTTCCTCTGTAGCTCAGGGGTCTTCTGACATTACACCCCACTCCCTTTCTGCATCAAGTCCCAACCCTTTCACACGTATTAATGCATCAGAGACATTATCTTCTGCAAGAGCTACCCCTCCAGCTCCTCCTTCTACCCCAATTTTAACTGGATTTGTATCCCAGCATGCCACAGTTGGATCCCCTTCCATTCAGCACTTGCTTGGATCTAGACTGGAGCAGATTCAGACCACCACACCTCATACATTAGGAGCATCTGCAAAACCATCTGCTGTCACACCACCTGTTCCCCCTGCCTCTCATTCTGGCACTAGTAAGATAGACAAATACGCACGAATTTTATTTCCCGTTACCTTTGGAGCATTTAACATGGTCTACTGGGTGGTGTATCTATCCAAGGATACCATGGAAAAATCAGAAAGTCTAATGTAGTTTTGCTGCTATGTAGTAGTTCAAAAATTATACTCACATTTGATGCAGAGTTTCTTCTTTTGAAACTATTTAAAAAGTCAATAATTCTTATTTATAAAAGCTGTGTGCTACTTTCCCGTTGTAAAGGCTGGAGATCTTGGGGATAATGAGGTAATTCTTAATTATAGGTAACAGAATTCTCTTCCTCCCTTCAGCTAGGAGTGAATCATCACTCTTCAAACAGGCTACTTGCCTTTGGGAGAAATATGCACAGGAAAAAATCAAAGATGGAGGTGCACAACTGTGCAGTGGAATTCATCTCCACTGCTAGGAATTATGCGTGTTGATTGTCATGGATCCCTGAGGCATCTAGTACTGTCATTTGGACACAGCATTGCATTTCTTGACTGCAAGGCCCATGTCCTGAGTATTTTGACAGTACCTGCTAGAAATGGACTTTTTGTGCTAGGCTAAAATTGGCAGAATGGGAGGAAAATGAGCAATGGAAAAAGAAAATAGAGTCCAGCCTGGGAAAGTGCAACTCCAGAAGAGTTATGCAAAGGAGTTGTAGAGCTCCATATATTTTTACGAAGCATTATTTTGCATTGCAACCTTGGAAATTCTTACTTCAAAATAAGAATGAATTAACCTTATAAATCTGAAATCTGAAGTAATTCTCAAAATTGGAATTTTTTGTTTGCTAAGGTGATCTTAAATGTGATTCTTCTTAGACAGTGCTGACCAGCTTGAGTGGATAAATTTCTAAATTGCATCACATGGTAGAATGGAACCAGGTCCGCAGTGTTCAAATTTTTGAATTCTTTGTTCTTTCTTTTGGATGCTCTTAGATTTGTTAATTGTTGTTTTGTTTTGTTTGTTTTCCATATTTTTCAGTCACGCACCTCTGATTTCCTTTGAACACATATTTCTCTCTCTCTTTTATTATATAGTTTAAGTCAAGTTAAATTTACAACAAATTTTGAAGTGGCTTCAGAATCAAGGAAAACATATTTTCCTGTGCTTTGATGTGTGTTGCTATGGCACAACTTTGAATGTGAGACACCCTTTTGTGAAGGAACACTGTGACATAAATCCAAAAAGCGTGTTTCTAGATGAAGCAGGGGAAACATGAGGTGTATTTATGATCCATTAGTTTTTCTTACACTGTGGGTGATTTCCTTAGTGGTTCAGTGTACGAACAGACAGCTACTTTTCTTTATTTAAAAAAAGAAGTGAACAGTTTAAGCTTGATAAAAATCTTATCAACAGTGTTCTTTTCACCTATATGAGCGGGG